TCTTCGTGAATGATGGTCTTTATGTCTTCCCACAGCTCATCAGATGTCATTAGTGTTCAATGTGTCAAATTTGTTCTTGAAACGTTCTCAAAGTTCAGGTGGGATAGACTCCAGGTTGTATACGACTCTGCTGGGCTTATTTGCATTTTCAACTTCAACCTGAACTTACATGTGAGCAACTGAGTGTCTGTTCCACGGGAATCCCTGGGCCTGGTTCTAGCTGGCGTGCGCGGAGGAGAGCGACGCTCTAGTTGGTCCAGTGCTGCCCACAGCGCCCCCAGTCAATGGAGGACTGGTACCTCGGACCAAAGGCCCGTGGGGATGCGGGGGGAGGAAGACACCAGGCTGAGAGGGGAGGGGACTGGCACGAGACGGGGACGTGAGGAGGGAGACTATGGAACGATTCTGGAAAAGACTTACGGATTCAGTTTGACTGGCGGTGGCAGGGAATGATCAGAATGAATGCCAGGGTCCATCTCTGTTCCAGTGGACAGCGCTTTTTAGTTTGATAGATAATTATGCTTACAAGAGCTTGTCCTAAGGCAATAGGCAAAGGCATCGCTGTTTTGTGTGTCCGTGAGTGGACACCGACGTCGGACACCGTCGACCTTCACAGGAGCTGACCACTGGACTTTCTCCCTGGAGCCAAGCTGTGAGGGTTCCAACCACCAAAGATTCAGTCAGCAGCCAGGCGCTCAACCCTTGCGCCACGAAGGTTCCCTCAAATGCACGCAGTGTAGGAAAATGTGAAAGAATCGAATTCTCTAGCCTCAGGACCACCAGACCCTGCCACTCAGCTCTACCCCGGAGCCCCCCGCCATCGCCACTAGCTCACTCACACTGGCTCACACGCATGCGCACCACATACACTCTCATCACACACATCACTCACGCTCACCACACACAATCATGCTCATGCTCACCATCCGCCACTCACAATTACCACATGCACTCCCTCACACTGTGCTCCCTCTGTCACGCTCATACACACTACATACACACGCACTACATATGCCCACTGTGGTAGTTCCAGGTTGACTAGAGAAACAAATTCATATACTCATATGTGTATAAAAAAGAGCTTTGTATCAAAGAGCAATTGTATATTGAGAAAACATCCCAGCCCAGTCCAGATCAAGTCTGTAAGTCCAATATTAGCCCATATGTCTGATGCTAGTCCTTAAATTCCTCTTTAGACTCACGCAGCATATGCAATGATGCTGAATGCAGGGAGATCATAAGCCAGTGGGTAGAAGGTCTTGTGGATCCAGTGGTGGTGGAAGCATCTCAATGCTGGCACGGGTCTACATGTGTCTCGTGTCCTCTCCAGCTCTCCAAGTGTTTCAACAGCAGGAAAGGGAAGGCGGAGAGTGTCCCACCTCCAGGGAGGAAGACAGGAGTTCCCAGCATCCTTAGGAGAAGGTCATCCCACAGGGGCATGATTGGCTATGACCTGATTGACAGGCAGATTGACCCAATGCAAAGCTGCATCTGATCTTTTGACTGCTGTTTCCCTGTGCATTGATTGTGGATCCAAGTAAGACAAAATTCTTGACAACGTCAATCTCACATTATCATGATATTACCTATTGGTTTAGTTATAAGGATTTGAGTTTTCTTTACCTTGAGTCATAATCTATATCAAAGGCTTCAATTCTTTATCTTCATCAACAAGTGCTCCAACTCCTTCTTACTGACAGCAAGCAAGATTGTGTCATCTGCATATCACAGGTTATTAATAAGCTTTCCAACAATTATGATGCTGAATTCTTCTTCATAAATCCAGCTTCTCTGATTATTTGCTCAGCATGAAAATTGGATAAGGGTGGTGAGAGGATACAACCTTGACACACATCTTTCCTAATTTTAAACCATGCAGTATCCCAACCCACAAGGGTGTGCTGGTACAGCTGCCTCTTGATCCATGTACAGGTTCTGCATGAGCACAGTGAAGTGTTCTGGAATCTCTATTCTTCTCAAAGCTATCAGTAGTTTGTTATGACCCACACAGTCCAATATCTTTGCTTCGTCAAAGTATACTTTGCTTAGTCAAAATATGCTCTGCTTTCACCCAAGATCCATCTAATATCAACAATGATATCTCTTGCTCCACATCCTTTTCTGAATCTGGCCTGAACCTCTAGCAACTCCCTGTTAATATAATGCTGCAACCATTGTGGGGTGATCTTCAGAAAATTTTTACTTGCACATGATAGTAATGATATTGTTCTAGAATTTGAACAAAAGTTTACGTATGTGTGATATCGGTGATGTTCTCTAGGTTGAGCATTCTGTTGACTTCCCTTGCTTTAGGATGGGTACAAATATGGATCTCTTCCAGTCAATTGGTCAAGTAGCTGTTTTCCAAATCTCCTGACATAGACGAGTGAGTGCTTCCAGTGCTTCATCAGCTTGTTGAGACGTCTCAGTTCATTTTCCATCAATTCCTGGAGACAAGTTTTTGGCTATTGTTTCCAGTGCAGCTTCAACCTCTTCCTTCTCTATCATTTGTTCTTGCTCATATGTTACCACCTGAAAGGGTGCACTGTTGACTCGTTCCTTTTGGTACAG